TGAGAATAATTTTTTGGGACTACCTAAAAAGGAAAGTGGAAAGTATTTTTTGGGACGGAGGGAGTATCCAAAGTTTCAAATAGAATCACTACCTCCGTTTCATTTTAATTAATTATGTGAACATATTTAGAAGTTTGGATTATTATATTAACTTTTTTAGCAGAGATTATTATTGTAGAACTGCTAAAAGTACAGATTATTAATATGAATTTCACCTAAAAACTAAATATAAGTTCCTATGACTAAAATTATTATTATAGTTACTATACTTAAAACGTCACATTTTTGTAATTATTTCATTATCTATTCGATGATTGAATTTTTTTATGAGTGGTGCTACTTGTACACATTTTTATACGCACTGCCCAATTGTCTGTGTACATAGTAGCTTCTAAATAAACTGGCCATGTACACAAGTAACTAGGTGTGTGTGTACAAGAAATGTGTACAAATTATGTGTACAAATAACTTTTTCCTTTTTATATACATTGGAATGGATGTATATTCAATCATTATATGATACGTAGTACTATGTATATAGGTGATACATGTATTGTCATTTAATTTCATGTTCATTAGTACTATTATCACTATTATTATCATCATCATTACTACTACTTGTGAATGGCCAACTCAATTTACTCGTTTTGAGTGATGGAATAATATAGCAAAAGGTTATATCTATGTAAAATGACCCACTTTGAATTTACAAATAGGCTACTCCGTCTAAATGCAATCATTTTAACTTTTTTTTGAATGCAACTCATCAGACATTTATCCATCAATGAATCAAAACATCAGTCACTACATGACCACCGAATACCGATGCATTCTAGAATATAATTAAAAATTAACCTACCATCCGCACACAAAAATGGTTGCCTTAACAAGTACATGTGTTATACGGTTTGTGGATAGTCTGCAACGTCTGACTGAAAAACTAGCTTCAAATCGAAGTATGTGCGTGATATAAAAAATGATAAGATCTAAAAAGAGTCCCTCGCCTCTATCTTCTGAAAGTCTTGACCAGGAGAGCATCTGTTTCAACTTCTAGCTACAAACCAACCTACCAAACAGGCCTCATGACCACCCGGATAAAACTCCCTCCTCATCACGCGCCAATCAGCCCCACTCTCTCTCATTCCCCATTTAGTATCTACCCTTCCATCCACGTTTATTTATATCACCCGGTCACCCCTAATGTAAACCGAACCCAATCTACATCCTCTATTACCTTTGTTGATTCCCGAATTGCAGGTTCCTGTGCAGAGCGTCATCCATTTAACATTATGTGCACTTTCATTGATTGCTTGATCAATGCTGAAATGTTTATCCTTTCAGACCACCTCATTGTGTGATTTCACAATGATCCACACCATTGTGATGAATATACAAAGCTCCTCCTCCTTTCTATCCTCAAAGTAGCTTTCATCTAGTCCAACAAGTTATCTGCTTGCCTCATCGTCAAACAATTCATTCTCGTCTAGACCTTAATTGTCATTGGACAATCACGAAACAAATGTAAAGGAGTTTCATCCACATACATCATTGCAAAATGTGCGATTGGCTTGGATATTCACTTGCCTCCTCCTTAAACTCACAACCGTAACGCTTATGCCTTGACAATCAAGAAAAGTGTTTTATTTTAGATGGAATAAAAAATCCCCACATTTTAGTCCATTCAATCCAACCCCATTTTGTAAACTCCCTGATCAATTTTTGTGCCCACTCTTAACAGTGTACTCCACACAGTCACCCTTGGTCCACCAATAACCATCCCTTACCCCGTGTGGCTAAGTGATTACTCAAAATAGTAGCCTTCTCCTTCGCTGGATAAAAGACCGCAAGCGCTCTATATTCAACCCCAATCTACCCTTCTTGATGAGAGATGCTACACTCATATAAAAATGATGATTTTTGAGACGAAACCATACCCCCCCAACTGACTGCTAACTATCATGTCCTTGCCAGACAAAAAAAATCCCCCCCTCTTCCAACTCACCGTCTAGTTTCCTTCCAAAGAAGTTTTAGGGAAATACCCTGCTTTATAGAATCTACTAACTTATGAGTTTCGGTCATTTGTGAATTGCCATACTTGTTTCCGTAACATTGCGATATTAAATTCGCCTAGAGATCGATATTCCAAACCACCTTTGTGTTTAGGCAAGTACACATAATGCTTTCCATTTTTTTCATCTTGTTCCTCTCCCTGCCAAACTCCTTACTCTCCATCAATATCCACTCATTAATTTTTCTACTTCTACAGATCATCATGGGGCAATAAAATATACATTCCCTGTATTCATTTTAGAATCCCCTCTCGAGATATCGGGAATTAACATCACTCAACAATACTCCCAATATATTAGTAATAGTATCTCACATTGCTTTACTAACTTTCGAGCTAAACAAAATAGAGGATTTAATAAATTTTATTTGCTGCCCCGAACTAGATGAATAGAATTGTAGGATCCTTTAGTGGTATCAAACTCTTCTTTATGTGCCCCGAGAAAAGGAAACTATCATCAATAAAAAATAAATAATTAAGTGGGATACTTTTGATGCCCATCTTGCGACAGAAATATCATGTATGTTCCCTGCTTTTTCCCGTTGTTTAACCAACAAGCAGAGGCCTTCCGCAACTAGGACGAACAAATAAAGAGATAGAGGGTCACTTGGAAGCTGTTCCGTTCACCTGATCTGAATGTTTCTGATCTGAATTTTTTAAGTTCTGATCTGATCTGATCTGAATTTTTCTGATCTGATCTGATCTGATCTGAATTTTTCTGATCTGATCTGATCTGATCTGATCTGAATCTTTCTGATCTGATCTGAATCTTTCTGATCTGATCTGAACGTTGCTGAACTGATCTGAATGTTGCTGATCTGATCTGATCTGATCTAAATGTTTCTGATCTGATCTGAATGTTTCTGATCTGATCTGAATTCTTCTGATCTGAATCTTTCTGATCTGATTTGAATATTTCTATAATTGTAATTATAATTATAATTATTAGATTTATAATTGTAATTAAAAATATAACTTAAATAAAATTACAATTATAATCATAATTATAAAAAAAATAATTAAAATTAAATTTAAAATTATAATAATTATACCAATTACACTAATTATAAATACAGATACAATTATAAATGTAATTATATTTTTAATTATGATTAATTTATAAATATTTTTTTTGTAATTATAATTATAATATTTATCTCTATAATCATAATTATATCTATAATTACTAATTTAAATATATAATTACTGCGAAGTAATAATAATTACAAAAATAACAACAAGAACAACAATCATATTAATAATAATGATGATTATAATTATAATGACATTGTAAATCATAATTATAATTATAATTATAAATATATTATATTATATTATATTATATTATATTATATTATATTATATTATATTATATTATATTATATTATATTATATTATATTATATTATATTATATTATATTATATTATATTATATTATATTATATTATATTATATTATATTATATTATATTATATTATATTATATTATATTATATTATATTATATTATATTATATTATATTATATTATATTATATTATATTATATTATATTATATTATATTATATTATATTATATTATATTATATTATTATAATATAATAATAATTTTATATTATTAACATTATTATTATATTATTATTAATAATATTATTATATTAATATATTAATATTATTAACAATAACTATAATATAATAATCATAATTAATATAATAATAAAAGTGGTAAATCATGTTTGAATTTTTTGATCTGATCTGAATGTTTCTGATCTGATCTGAATGTTTCTGATCTGGTCTGATCTGGTCTGAATCTTTCTGATCTGATCTGAATGTTTCTGATCTGATCTGATCTGATCTGAATCTTTCTGATCTGATCTGATCTGATCTGAATCTTTCTGATCTGATCTGATCTGATCTGAATAAAATAAGATTAAGGAATAAGTAATAAGATTAAGACGAACGGAACAGCTTCTTGACCTAGTCTACGCTGCAAATAATAGGTCACAATATCATCAACAAACTATATTAAGGGGTGTTTGGAACTGATTTTGCTGCTTCTTTTTAAAACAGAAGCAGATTCATAATCAGTTTTCAGAAGCTGATCTCCCTCAACTTCTAAAAAAATTGATTCTAGGAGTAAATTAGAGCACCAGAATTACTTCTGCACTTTTACCCAAACACTCCAACTTCTGCTTCTATTGCCTGAAGGAACAGAAGTAGTTTTAAGAATCAGATCCAAACCTTCCCTAAGTATTCAATAGAATCCACCCGCTCTTTAATCAGGAATCTATTTAGCTGCAAAATTCACAACTTTCATACAAGGAGCCAAGGAGGGATTACTTTAGGGGTAATTTGATTTTGCACCCCATATTATTGTCTAAATTGGACTTTGCACTCCGTTTTCAAAAATCTGTGTTTTTGCACCCTAACCCCATATGAAAAGACCAAAATGCCCTCGATCAGGAATATGTTGAAGGTTAACAGAATTGTTAATGGATGAACATTTTGTCTTTTCATATGGGATTTGGGTGCAAAAAAAATGGGATGCAAAGTCCAATTTGGACAATAAGATGGGGTGCAAATCAAATTACCCCATTACTTTATGGACTAGGGTGGATTCCAGCCTAACCCCCCGCCCCCGCTTTTTGTTTTTTTAAATTATAGGTATTGGTTTATTTTATTTAATGTTCAACTCATCCCAAAATAATACTCCCTCCGTATTTATATGTTCCCCACATTTGTTTTTGGTACAATATTTTAGGATATGATAGTAAGAGTAGTGAATAATGTAGAAAAGGTAGAAGAGAGTGAAAAAGTATGAAAGAGAAGATAAAAAATATGGAATAGATAAAATAAGAGTAGTTGAGTATTTTATAAAAGATAAATTTACCAAAAATGGAAATATACTAAACTTTTAAATAAACAGAAAGGAGTATCAATTATCAAAGCCACTCGCCCAACCTACTGTCCAGACACCACTCTCCAGCAAGCGTCCTGTGAAGACACCAAGATAACGAAGTACGTAGCCCTGGACTGCGAGCCGACCTGGCGACCTGCGCTGCTGCCCCTGGCCGGCACTCCAGCGGCCCTGCCTCGCCTGAGTCACCTCAGCTCTGCCCTCCAATCTCGTTTCTTAGCCTCTACCTCTCGCACTCCGACGGTCCGGCTTGTTCCCAGGAGTCCAGGTATTACCATTTACTCTTTCTTTTACTCTATTACGCAGCACTTCTTTATTTGATCTTTAATTCTATTTGAAGCTAAGTATCTCCACCGCCGATCGATGATAGATTTGTCCGCATAAGCACTCAAACCTTGAATGTGTTGTGTCCAGGTGTAACGCAGAGAAGGTAAAAGCAAAGACGTTTACTTTGCTTTTCATCAATAACCTCTGGACACCATTTCCCCATGTATAATTTAAGATTTATAATGCAAGTCGAAGTGTTTTTTTACATTGTATTGAAACATTTCACTCCCCATGTATTTTCTGAATAAATATAACATTTTTATATTTATTTTCGAAATTCTCAAAACTACTCATTCATTCATATATGCATATAAATTAATAAGAATTCACAAATAAGCTACATACAAATAGCACACATATATTTATCTATGTACATATACATAGATTATGATAGTCTGATAGATATATACACCCGTGACATGTTAATGTATAATGTGTGTGTGTGTGTCATAGAATACATGATCACAAAAAGGTTCACCAAGGACAATAACAAAAAAAAATTGAGTGAAAAATTATGACAACAAAGCAAAGTCTATAGTCTTACCAAGCAACTCAAAAGTTACCACTCCGTATGTTATTATTGTTTGCAATTTTACACCAACAATCTTGAAACCCTTAAGAACAAACTCAAAGGTATTTTCTTCTTTAGGGAGAATGTACACTTACACACACAATTTGTCAATTTCATAGTTTTTTTAAACTGCAAAGGTTCTTCAGTGGTGCTCATTTGGCACTGCCACTTATATGGAAGTATATGGTGTTTCTGTGCTGTTGCATTTACGGTGATGTGATATCATGGCTTAGCCCATGGATCAAGCAGTAGCTGTGTGATATCACACAGAACGTTGTTTCGTTTTGTTTTTACTCCATTATTCATTTTTTGTAAAATTTTTGTCTACAACAAGGTGTATTTATTCCTGTGAAGCTCTTTAGGTGGGAACACTAGGAAATTTCATTTGCTTTTATATATTACTTCCTCCATCCCACTTAAAGGTTCCCACGCGGTTTACGATGTTTGACTAACCATAAAGTTAACTGATCCCTATCATTAATAAGATTATTTTTAGTATATAAAATTTACATATTTAGAAACTACATTAAAAAATTTAAATGCCTGATCAAGAAAAATTAAATTTGATAAAAGTTGGATATATAAAGTAAAAGATTAAGACCAATTCACGTTGACTGGAGAATAATGGGCGGGAATCTTTAAATGGGACGGAGGGAGTAATAGATTTTTTCTTCTAATTAGAATTACAGGTATCAATGATTAAATGTCAAGATGGCATAACCAGATAAGCTTTGTTATTGAAAGTCAAGAAATTCTAATATTGCAAGCTTTCTTGTGAAATATGTGAAGGAAATTAAATGTAATGCACTAAAGGGAAGTCTGAGTACACTAATATAGTAATATCTTACTCTGAATATTTTAACCCCAACATAAAGGCTAGCCTAGAGCATACCGATTTTCCTACAAACTAGTGTAGTGATTTGGTTGGCCATGAGATGTGTCTCTGGATCATTTTGAGGCTGGGGTTTTGGTTCTTCCTGTAGTCTTAATTCCTCCCTTCGCTGTTTTTACATATCTCTCATAGTTTTTTTCTGCAACTAATTAATTCATGTCCCCTTATATTCTAACCAGCAAGAATTAATTTTTACTATTTTGATCAAACTGGTTTGTAAAGTTGAAATGGAACAATCACTGTATTGAATTTAACTAAGGTAACTTAAACATCTATTATACAAAAGATGGTACTTCTTTTCTTTCTACTTGAGAGATGAGACATTTAATTTTTGATTGCGAAAATTATGATCCCTTTTTAGTTTAAATTCCATTTGTCCTTCTTTGATGTGGCGCTTGATATTTGCGGACTTAAGTGCATCCCCTTTAAAAGTCACAGTTTGCATGTTCTTAAAAACTTTGTCCAGTATATCTTATATCTATATAATGTATTACCTCCGTCCCAAATTGATTTGCAAATTTGACTTTTCTTGGTCAAATAGTTTCATTTTATTCACTTATTTAGAATGTCAATTTTTAATTATATTCAAATTTGGAGTTTACAACTTTGAAGAGATTTTAATTTAGTTTCTGAATATATAAATTTTAATTATTAAAAATTGAATTAATTATTGGTAGAGAGCATTGACTTTTATTATTGGTTGACAAAAAATTGTTGACTTTGCAAAACAATTTGGGACGGAGGGAGTATGAAATTACCTATTCTGTAATGTGCCTTTGTTATATTATATGATTTAAGCCAGAATAGTTTAGATTGGTGTATGATTGAAATCACTGTTTGGTCATCTGGCTTTATTGTTGTGGAGCACTCGATGCATATGTATTTAAAAATTACAGCAATATTAATTATGGACACCGACAACCAAGAAAGGAGATATTAGTTGTGCTGTAGAGACTTAGTATAATATACTACGTATGAGCAATAAATCAAAGGAGATATCAGTTTAATGTTTAATTACTGCACAACTCATTCTGCCCAAGAAATCCGACCGCCAGCTTGTCTCTCATTATTGCAGGGCATATTATCCCATAAAACACTAGGTAGATAAGTAATGGACAGCTTCTTTATTATGAGATGAGTGAATTGTGCACAGGAAGCCTAGCACTTTCACCTAGATATTTACTAGTAATTGTTTTGATTGTATTTGTATCTATATTTTATTTAGAATTTTCAACCTATTAATGAAATCAAACTGCCAGCCTTAGCAGAAAGGCTGCTACCATCTAACCGTGCCTGCATACACATCCCTTGAGAGTATCTTAGATTATTGTGATGATCTAGGATTACATTCTCTTTTTAAGGATTATTCAGAATATTTGTAATGGGATCCATCTTCTGCTGTGTTACTGAACATCTTTGTGTTCTGTATTCCTGTAATGACACTGTTGAAAACTTGTTTTGCTTTTGTATATTAATAATGGATAGATAGATACATAATGCCATAATGGTAGACGGTGACTATGTGGGGTGCATTCAACCTATATTAAACTATATGAATTTTATTCAGCTGCTTTTCATAATTTGTTTTATTTGAATCTAATCTAGTTTTATTTGACAGCTATTACCTTGGAATATGCACATTAATCCTGACATTCTTTTCTCCGATGCAGGATTTTTTCCCGAGAACAGACTTCAGAACCATGAGTCTCATAGGCTACAATGCCTTTACAAAACCAAACTTCTTTCTTGTACATTATGATATATCTGCCCTTGCAATATGTCGATCTCAATTTATTTTGCGTTCAAAGAAAACCCCAATAATGAGGCTATGTTGTTCCGTTGTGAGTAGAACACTGTCTTCCAAATCTGTAACAGGTCATGAGAGTCATAAAAAACAGAAAACTGATGCATCTTCCTTGTACACTCATCCTAGTTTGTTGCAAATGAAGAATGAGAGGGTGGCAAACCGTGCACTTGTTTATGACTTCTTGAGAGGGGTTGGCATTATGACTGACGAGCTAGACGGATTAGAGCTTCCTCCCTCGGTTGAAGTCATGAGGGAACGTTTGGACTTCCTTCACAAATTGGGACTCACAATTGAGGACATCAACAATTACCCCCTTGTTCTCGGCTGCAGTGTGAAGAAAAACATGATTCCCGTTCTCGATTACCTCGGCAAATTAGGTGTTAGGAAATCCACACTCACCGGATTCCTTCGCCGGTACCCACAAGTTCTCCATGCAAGTGTTGTAGTTGACCTTGCGCCTGTTGTCAAACACCTACAAGGTTTGGACATTAAACCAAACGACATCCCACGGGTTCTTGAGCAGTATCCAGAAGTATTGGGATTCAAGCTTGAGGGAACAATGAGCACTTCAGTGGCATATCTTGTGGGCATTGGGGTGGCAAGAAGAGAAATTGCAGGTGTGCTGGTGAGGTACCCTGAAATATTAGGGATGAGAGTAGGTCGGGTGATCAAACCCTTTGTGGAATATCTTGAGAGTGTGGTAGGAATCCAGCGGTCAGCAGTGGCAAAGTTAGTCGAGAAAAATCCGCACATTCTAGGGTTTGGGCTCGAAGAGAGAGTTAAACCCAATGTGAAATCCCTTGAACAATTCATGGTCAGGCGAACCTCAATTCCTTCAGTCATTTTCCAATACCCTTCAATTCTAGGAATTGATCTTGAGGAAAGGCTGAGAAGCCAACAAATTTTCCTCAACTCGCTTTTAGGTCTATGTCCAGAGGATTTCGGGAGAGTTGTGGAGAAGATGCCACAGGTTGTCAGTCTTAACAATGCAGCTGTGATAAAACATGTTGATTTCCTCAAGGCATGTGGGTTTTCTTTAGAACAAGTAAGAACAATGGCCGTGGGCTGCCCCCAGTTGCTCGCATTGAATATTGAGATCATGAAACAAAGTTTTGCTTATTTCATTGGTGAGATGGGTGGCAGGGCGTTGGATGAGTTGGTTGCTTTCCCGGCTTTCTTCACTTACGGACTCGAATCAACCGTGAAGCCAAGGCATAGAAAGATTGCAGAAAAAGGATTAAGATGTTCCCTTGCATGGATGCTCAATTGCTCGGATGAGAAATTTGAAGACAGGATGCATTATGACTCGTTTGGCATAGAAGAGATGGAATCGAGTCCGACATCCTTTGACATGAACGTCCTCATGCAACCCCAAAGCGATGATTCAGTCTATGATGAGGATGAGGATGAGGATGAAGATAGTGATAGTGATTGTAGTATAGACTAGATCATCAGACTATGATGAGGATGATGTTGATGACACTGATAGTCATTTATAGTATAGACTAGACTGTAAGTTTTTATCATTGCATAACACAACTGTGTACCATATGTTTAATTTAACAGTATGCTACAGTGTGCATTATGTATGCAGTAATGCACGGTTGACGGTACTGCATAAAGTCATAAACTACCAGTCATTAATTTGGGACCTTGAAAACGCAAAGGGAAAAAAAGGGAACATAATGTAAATTGGTTGGGGGGGGGGGGGGGGGATACATTAATTCAGATTCAATATGTTCAATTTTCATATTTTATATACTTACAAATTGATAAATTAATGACCACGTTTCACATTTTTTTGTTTCTTTTAGAGCAACAGGTGGGATTCCCCCCAACACCAGTGCCCCTATAACCTGGCTAGGGAGACTTGTGTAAAAGAAATGCAACTTTTATATTCTTATTTCTTATATTTAAGGGTCTAACACACCGGTGCCCCTATAACCTGGCTCGGGAGACTTGTGTAAAAGAAATTCAACCTTTATATTCTTATTTCTTATATTTAAGGGTCTAACACAGTTTTCACCAATGGTCCATATATTATTTGTGTTTTCTTAAACTCGTACCTAGTAACATAAGATTTGAGTTAATCGTAGTTACAGTTCCAACACTTCACAACTTTAAAAAAGGATGACACTTCATCGCTGAAAGTCTCTTAGAACTGACTGGATAATTATATGGGAGGATGTGAATTGAATTTTGATCACACGCTAATGGAAAAAGAGTGATTGGGTTACAGTTAAACTTGAAATTTTTTCCTTGTGACACCTTCTAATCAGGTGAGCTATGCCCCTGATAATACATTACAACTTTGGTTATACATTAATGAGATGATAATAACATAGGTCATGTCCAATAATTATAGTCCCATCACTCCATTTCCATTTTTACTCACTGTGTGTAGGCATATTTATTTACCTAAAATACAAGTCCATTATATTATTTAGATATTTTTTTGACACATTATATCTCCTATTCCTTTGTGTAGTAGGGTTAAGGGTTTAACACTTAGTGATTTAGTATTTAGTCGTGCAACCCCTTTGATCCCTTTATTAAGGATTTATCATCTGGGTTTAAGGTTTAACATTTACAGTTTAATAGATGTGATAAAAAGTACTACGTAGTATATGGCAACAACAAACTAGGGGACAATAGGGTGGACCCGAACCGGTTCCGGGCCGAGACCGCCCAATCCTTCCCAATCATTTCCAAGGCCCGGGCCCGACCCGTATTAATCCGATTATGGGCCAGTTCCGGGTACCTGGGCTGGTCCAGTCCCGATCCCAGACCTGTTATAGTTTTTTACCCAATTCCAAGTTACTACCCCCGTTCCATAAAACTTTTCCAAGTTTCATTTTTTGACTGTCCCAAAGAGCTTTGTCATTTCCATTTAAAGTAGCAAATATGTGACTAAAGTTATTCCTCTCTCATCTGCATAAATTTCAATCACACAATATTTACTTTATTATTCGACATGCAAGTCTAGTCATGGACCGGACCCGGTCCGGTTTGGGCCTAGGCCCGGCCGGGCCTTGAAGTGTGGGAGTGTAGCCCAGAACCGGACCGGGTGTTGACCGGTACCAGTTCGGGCCGAGCCACCCGCCCGGGTACCAGGCCGGTCCGGTTCAGTTCGGGTCAATTTTTTTCCCTAAATAATTTTAGAAGTGTTGCATATAAAAAAAACTTCAAGTGCATTTATTTGAAATATGAACTACATTTGAGAATTGAGAAAAAAAAATTAGAATATAAAATACATTTTCTAATAAATAATAATATAATATATAATAATAGTCAACCGGAATTTCCGCCACCGTCTGTTGTTGTTTCCTCCTTGCCTTTGCCTTTGTCACAGGACTTAATATGTCTTGTGGGCGTCCCATATCCATGTGAAATCCCCAAGCAACAAACTTTCTTGCACCACTTGCATGTTGCGTACCACTTATCAAAATTATTTTTCGTAAGGGTATATTGACTTTCCATCTTAAAAATGGTAGATATAATAATTGTATAAATACTAAAATAGATGTATAAGAGAATAAGAGAAGATGAAGATGGAGAAGAGGTGTAGGAAAATGTTAGAAAATAGGAGTATTTATAGTTTTTTTGTACCCCCAACGGTTATATAGCCGTTTGGGATTTGGGACATTTCCCAATGGTTGGGGGCTGAAAATTTAAAAAATAAAAAGAAAAAATATAGCCGTTTGGGTTAAATGTTTTTTTTTAAATTGGGTTACTAAGTATATTTTGTTTTCTTGTTTCCTAAATAATTATAAATAATTATAATATTTATAACTAATATATTATATACTTAATATGTACTTAATATCTACATATATTATATACGTAATATCTACTTCATCACTAATTAGAAGTGTTGCATACAAAAAAAACTTCAAGTATATTTATTTGAAATATGAGGTACGATTGAGAATAAATTAAAACATGAAATACATTTCTAATTTCTAATAAATTATAAATTTATAATCAATCGGAATCTGCCCCCTCTTCGGTTGTTGTTTCCATAAAGTGTTCGGTGGGGGTGATGCTAAGTTCTTGAGTTCTACGTTGGGCCTTCAACCAATCGTGGTAACAAACAGGCGTCTCAAGAGAGTTTGTGCTCAATCGCGTTCTATAATCCGTGTCTCAAGAGAGTTTGCGCTCAATCGCGTTCTATAATCCGTTAGGATGTTGCCGGCCGCACTAAATTCTTGTTCCACAGCAACTGTTGAAACCGACATTAATAGCACTTGTTTAGCCATCTTTGCTAAAATTGGGAACATCCTTTCTTTTTTCTTTCAGTCCTTCACCACTTTAGAACGTCAAAGTCACCCCCTTCTTCATAATCAACAGGATATGTTAGGTATAAAGTAAGCTCGTTAACTAAGCTTTGTTAAACGGCGGGAGTTGTTTTAGATTTTTTCATAAGATTCCCAAATCTAGATTTAAAAAATGATTTTCCTTTAGATGAAGATGTTCGTGTCGGGGAAGGGGGTGCGTCGGCATATTGTGCATGAAACTCATTAAATAATTGATACAATAAATTACTAACCTCGTATTCTTGTTTAGGATCTATGAGGTTATCTTCATACATAGGAAAATCGCCAAAAAAAAGCATAATAGAAGTCTAGACATTGTGATAAAGAAGCAAGTCTATAACGCGGATCAAGAATAAATGCAATCATTGTTCTAAAACTCGCTAGGCGCTAGTCGGGCGGTTGAGGGGCGCCTAGCGACTAGGCGGCTGACTAGGCCAATTTTTTGGCCAACTAGGCCGATTCGGCCTCTATGGTTAGGGACGACTAGGCCGCCTAGGCCGATTAATCAGTCCGCCTTGGCTGATTTTTAGAACAATGAATGCAATACCATAAATATGCGGAATATGTGAATAAAATTTTAAAAACTTTTCTTGCATAAACTCACAAAAAATAACTTACGTAATATAAGGGGCATTACAAAATTCATTGAAAACACCGGCGAGATTAACAGCTTCACGATAAAATTGGTTTGAGGTAGGTTTATAAACATGACTAAAAGTTTCAGTTGCATTATAAAACTATATCAAAACATTCACAAATTTTTCGCAAGTGTCGATGTCAGCCGGGTTTATAATATAGTTTTGATACTTTTTAAAAAAGCAGGAAAATGTTTTTTTATATCTAATAAGTATTTTAATTAACTTATACGTATTATTCCAGCGAATACAAATCTTTAGGAAAAACAACATATCTAACATTTCTTTCCCTCAAATAATTTTGCCATTGTAATTTAAGTTGACCACTCCTCCAAATAAGTCTAATTCCCCCCTTCACTATCTCCATAACATTTCCTAACGCGGCTAGCCCTTCTTTCACACATAAGAATATGACATGCACATCGTTGATGAAAAACCTACCTATCAAAGTAGAAGAACCACACAATTCACGCGATCTAGGTATAACAACAGTATTATTAGAAGCGTTATCAAAACCTATAGCAAACACCTTATCAATCAAATTATACTCAATTAAAATACGCTCAATGAGGCAATAAATATTATCAGCGGTGTGTCGCTCATTAAATGAACGAAAATCAATAATACGTATATGCATTTGTCAATCATCATCAATATAATGTGCAGTGACACCCAAATAATGTATATGATGATAAGTATTCTCTCATATATCACTACAAATAGTAACACAACCATCAACGTTTGCGAATGTTTTTTGTAATCGAGCCTTTTCCAAACCATAAAGTCATTATAACTTCTTTTTTAATCGTTTTGCGACTATAACCTCTAAATTGAGGATTTAAAGTTTGTTGAGCATAATCTCTTAAAGAAACACTTTCAGGAAAAAAAAAGGCAAATTTTCTTCAACAATTAAGTTTGCTTCCCCTTGCCTTTGTCAAATTTCGCCCACTCCACGGTGTGTTTGGCCTTAATATGCCTTGCCGCGCTCTCGTATCCTTGTGAAATTCTCAAGCAAAAATCTTTCTTGAACCACTTGCAAGTTGCGTACCACTTTTCAGTCTCCGGATCCTTTCACTTATCAAAATTATTTTCCATAAGGGCAGATTTACTTTTCTTCTTACCGGCGGGTTGGGATGAAGCAAGCTCGTCGTCGTTGTGGGTGTCATCGTCCGGGGGTGCCGTCACCCTCGGCCTCCTCCGCATCCTCGTCCTCGAGCTTATCTTCGTCAACGGTCAGGATGTCTTCTTGTTGGAAAAAGCGGCCATTATGTTGCTCCAATTCACGTTGTAGTTGCTCGTCGAACATTGCATTCCCATCTCTCCGTTGGTAATCCGTTTCAAAATCATCTCGGCTTTGAGAAAAAGAGCTGATATGTCTTTTACCTTTGCGCGAATGAGGATATACATATATATACACTTAATATATTAATTATTGTAATATAAGTAAATAAGTAAAACCAAGTATATAATAAGTAGATATTAAGTAGATATGAAGTATATAATATATGTATTTATAAGTAGATAATTTGAACTAAATTAGTAGATATAATAATTGTATAACTAATATATAATATAATGTTTATAGTATATAATATATAATATAAGTATACTATAATATATAAGTATATATTAAGTAGTGTAAGTGGATAATAAGTATATATTAAGTAGATGTAAGTAGATATAAGTATATATAGTAGATAATAAATATAAATAATATAATATATGTATTTAAAAGTAGATAATTAATATATATAATAAGTAGATAAAATAATTGTATAAATAGTAAAATAGATGTATAGAGAAGAAGATGAAGATGGAGATGATTAAGAGTATTAGAGAGTAGAGAGTAGGAAGATTGAAGAAGGGGTGTAGAAAAATGTTTAAAAATAGGTGTATTTAGAGAACTTTTTGTACCCCCCCCCCCCCCAAACCCCCCTGCTGGCACCCAACGGGACCCACCACCTTGCAGCAAGTCAATTTTGGCCAACTTTTATGGGATGAGGGAATATAAAAAGAAATTGGCCGATCAAGGATGGAAACCAGGATCGAAACCACCTGGTTCAGGCGCAAACATTGGAACCCAAATACTGCTTTTACCCGATCAGGTACCCGATCTTAACCCGTGACTGAAAAAAGAACCCAATCCAATTCTACACAATACCAGACCCGGTTCCGGACCGATCCGGGACCACCGACCAGGTCCATCCCTAGGCAATAACATCCAGTGGGCGGTCAAAGAGTTACAGAGTATTTTATTTGTTATTGTAAAGATAATTATAATGTATAACTGCATGATGGACAACTTTAGAGTTGTTCAAGTCTTTAAGATAAATAAGTCTTGTTAAGTTCGGTAAAAACAATGGCAGGGAGACGGATCTACGTATGCACTATGATGGGTTATAACTTACAACTACCAATGGTCACCATCACCAACACCACTGCCACTATATGTATTTCTTCATTTTCTTGCCACTTCTGAAGTCCTAATGACAACAATCACCATTCACCGGTCACCACATGTTTCCAGTGCCAACCTCCACCCCCACCATTGTCGACAATTGCATGCAACAATATTCACTAGTGGGAAAAGAAAAGATTTAGAAAGACAAGAACATGAGCAAACATGGCCAATGTCACTTGACTAATGAGTGTCCAGTTAGTAGTATACAGCCCCAATCCATTCATCACACTAATCATATATAACAGCACATCAATTACAAGGTAAGAAACTTGAAAGAATACATCTACACCATCACAAATCATCTATTGGTCCTATTATTGAAAGAGGCTTTCCTCCATATTTCCCATAAGAAACCAAACAAATCAGCAACCATATACTAAATGTAAATAGATGATACAGAAAAATACCCCCTACCTCTATTTGCAGACCATTTGGCGAGAACTAGGCGAGAGTTAAAAAAGAAAATAAAATAAGAAGCCGAGGGGGCTGCACTCCGAGGTCTAATGTTACAGTTCCCTGCAATATCTGAAGTAGACATAAACAGAGCTTTTATTCAGTTGGACCAAACATGGACTAATCCAAGCCTGTTCCCGGTATATATTTCATTGCGGTCTTCATCATAGAAGAGTGCAGTGATATCCTCCAGTGCTTCTGCAACGGTGCTCCTAACTCGGTGTGACCCTTTATTATTATGTCGTGTCCTACGACTACGTGGACTAGTATTATCAGAATCACTCTTTGCGACGCCTTTGGTGGCTTTTATTTTAGCCAAGCACTTACCTGTCAATATATTGCTCACATTGATGGAACCTGCTGCAGAGCCCAGAGTAACCTTCATGTGTTAGAAACAGATATTGAAATAACAAAAGAGAGAATCTCTTAGCCCTAATGTGTGTGTGGGTCACAGAGAATGCTGGGAACAGAAAGTTATTTTCTTGTATTTTGTTTTGCGCGTTTACCTTATGAATGCAAAGGGTAACGAAATATAACTATTTATTACTTAAACTGAGATAAAAAAAAATTGCATCGACAATATCTCAAATAAGTTTATAACTATTTTGATTTTCCATGACATTTTCTTTACATTTCCCTTACACGCCTTATTTCTTTATCTATCCCTGATATTTCGGGACCCAAACAGGCCCTGTAAGGGAATGTTTGGACCATATGAAAATGTTGTGGAATGAAAAGAAAGTATTTTGAGGAAACTTATTCTCTTATGTTTGGTTTTATACTTTTATCTTGGAAAATGTAAAGCAATATGGTAAAAGTTTATTGCATATATTTATATTTCTTAGTGTGTTTATATAATAGAAAAATAAATAAACTCAATCTCAACAAATATATAGAAACCAATTTATCGAGTTTTAACACATTTCTCTCCCCAAATTTAATTTAATTTCAATTTTCCTTGGAGTTCTAATCCAAACCTCTTAGAGTTTGTATGGGATTAGGAAAATGCTAGAGGAAGAAAATGAAAAAAAAAATATAGGGAAAACTTTGAAGAATAAATGCGGGGGGGGGGGGGGGGTTCGAAGCTCATTTTATTTATTTACTTAATAGTATTTCATTTTCCTTTGCATTTTCCACGGTAAAACCAAACACAAGAAATAACTTTCCATAACACTTTTTCTTTTTCCCTAGCATTTGCCAGATCCCAAGCATATCCCTGCCTAGTTGCTAGGCTTCCCTTTCCTGCATTGTGATCGTCCCCTGGGCCAGGTTGGGTTGCTGGTTCATAGCACTGGGCAATGAGCCAATCCCCTACCCTAGACCAATTACTGCATATGTTATGCAAATCCTAACATACTAACAGAGATGGGAATAAAACTGGCTAAGTTCCATTTCTTACCACTTCCTTCTGAAAGGGGATCATCAGAATCAGCTTTGCAGTAGGAGATAATCAGGTCCTGATCACCCGTAATGTAAATGTTGTTAGTATTACAGTCAGGATGCCATAAAAGGTGATCCTCAAACGAAGTTACAAGTTCCCCACGGAAGTTCCACACAGCAACTGTTCTGTTTCTAAAAGTCAAGAACAACTGGTTCTCGTACAGAAATATGAATGCTGATGGTGTCATGAACTCAGTCCTGCTAACTTCTGTCAACTCCACATTGCGGACCTGAAATCAAATGTTTGTTAAAGTTCAGACCAGGTATTTGAATGAAGTATTGAAGACTAGAGAGGGTGTGGGAACACAGCTACAGAACACTAAACGTCTGTTTGAAACTGAAGAAGTACAAGGGGAGAATATAATGAGGAAAATGGGAAGGATATATATTTTGGGGGATAATAAATGATAGACTTGAACACATCAACTCAAAAACTGATTCTAGATATTTGTTCAAACTATTGCGGAGGCAGAAATGTGTTTCTAATGTTTGGTTCCAGCTAAGAAAATAGAAAGGAAAATTATATTTGAATAAAAATGAAGAACTTTAATGTATTTAGATTTCTCAGTCTGGTTTGAACCAATTTTTTGCTTTCACCGATAATTTCTTTCCTTTCAAGTTTCCCCCGATTTTCCTTCTTACTTTCTTTACCTAACATTTTAGAAGTTCCAAAAGAAAGCCTAAACACTCACATCAAGAATCTGAAGATTCTCATTCTCTTGCTTGACAAGTAGCTTTTCATTGAACTGTTCAATGAAATCCACCTTCTTATTCCGATGGAGCAGATGGTTGAACGATTTGAGAACAGATCCATCCTCAATAGAGAGAATCTTCAATGGAATATAACAACTAGCTTGGGTATATATCAACAACATGATTCCTGGGCTGTTTTCCAAAAGTAACAACTACATAGCTTAAACACAATAAATTATTTACAGGTAATAACACTTACAAAGTAAACACAATAATCTTCATTATGCCCAGTGTGAATAAAATACAGACATGAATTAGCTGAACTGCATATCCTTAAGAACTGCAAACTTTAATGCATTTGTAGTATGACAAAGTGGCATACTAGGCTCTCTTTGGACACCTGTGTTCTTCCCACTTGTGACTGTTTTGGATGGAGAGTTTTGGAGGGCCAGGCCAATTAATAAAGGGGAAGCTCAGTGCCCATTGGCATCCCTGCACGGCGGGGGTCTAGTCCATATCTCATATATATGAAATTTCATACAAATTGAAAGATTAAGATAGTTGTGATTTCCTAATCGCATAACATTTCAATCACCTAGAATTCATTTTTACAATGTTTTTTAAGAAAAAGTGAAAGGGAGTCTAGAGGCACCGGTTATTCAGTTAAGGTGTTGTGTAACCAAGAGCTAAAGAGTTCAATTCTTAGGAGCAGTCTCTTGTAAAAAATTGAAAAGGGGAGGCTTGCCTCCCTATACAACCCTGTAGTGGGATCCTTCCCCCGACCCTTATCTTGCAGGGACACCAATTTGCATCAGCTTCCTTTTACATGAAGAAAAAAATAAACCCTACAAAGGTTTCCCTTCCAAAACCATCATTACAAACACACCCTTAAGCTCCAACTAATTCCACCTACATCCTGACTAGCCCCGATCATATCTGATAAGATGCTTGGCCCTAGTCTGCCTCCTTGCAGACACTAAGTGCTTATAACAAATTTACAACATTGCATTGTATTGTCTCATGTGCACCAGATATGACCATGCAATATATACTCGAACAGTCCATGGACTAACCTGATTTTAATCTCTTGGACATCTTTATCTGATATGGAGTACAACATTATATAATTCTTCAAATCAAAAACCTTGTATATGCTGATCAAATAGAGAGAAAAAAATGTATCAGAGTAAGATCTGCTTTAGCAGTAGGATGGTTTAACTACAGACAGTTACCTATCCTGAGCAGAGTAAGTGAGAACTTTCCCATTTACATCATCAAACTCCACAAACCCGGGCCATTTCAATGACTCTGACTCAAAAAGGGCAAAGCCGGCATCAGGTTGACCTCGTTTTACGTATCTAAGTATCGAAAATGAATGAAGCAATTCAGTAAGTGGGGGAACATAATGGATTTAAAGGACTTGTTTGGTTGGGATTTGGGAACTTTGGAGAGAAGAGGGGGATTTGTTTTTGTTTTACTAATTCATCACTATTTGCTAGTCATACACTAGAGAATGACTACTTGTATATGTTTAGTTAACTCATGATACCTATATAATTTCAATTGCTTTCCTTACAGCCATGTACAAGCAAAATAAATTAATAAAATAAATATCACCCCTCATCTTTCCTGCACGATGAAATCCCCCAACAAAAACAAGGGCCAATGGACTAAAAGAGCAACAAAATAGTTGCATGAAGTGGACATACTCAATCCTAGTGGTCCTGCATTTTAAGGAGCTAAAATTATCCGCAGCATACACTGAAACAGTGATGATAGAATCATTATTTTTGTTGTAGAACAAACTTCGTATCACTTCATCTGGGCTGACATTCAAGAAACATATCCTCCTATTCGTCTCTACACCAATAAAAAATACAGATAAGATACATGTGCAGCAACAATCTCCTCTACACCATTTACAAACAGCCCCTGAGATAGATCATGTTACCTCGGCTAAAAGCTGCACACACCCCAGATCGAGCAAGAGCAAAAACAATATCATGTGCAGCAACAATCTCAATGATTCTGGATCTTTTCATTAGAAAAGGAAGTGCAGTCGCACAGTGCTCTTTTGGATCATGGGTGTCATATTCCTCCTGTAGAAACAAAACATCATTAGACTTGTAAACTAATCATATCAAAATGATGAATTTAGGCTTTCACATTGAACCACTTAAACAAGCATAACCTCCATCTGCCTTAGGGTTCTTCGAGGTACCGCTAGAAGCCTGGGGCAGATGAAATTTGAATATAAAAATTATCGCTCCCTAACTGGCAAAACCCAGTATTATCTCACTGAATAACTACACCTACGCAAGTAAATAAATTAAGGAAACCCATAAATTAAAGCAGGAAAATCAATTTGACTTGGAAAAAAAGACTGGGAAAGGTCATTAACCTGTAAACGAATGTTACGAAATCTCTCTGGCGCATCCTTCATACTAAACGCCCGATCGAGCTTTGAAGAAATCTCCCTCCTTTGAAGCTTCTTGACGGTGTTCACTAATCCATCCGCCCCAGAGCGATGGCGCTTCTTTGCCACCACTCGCCGCCCGCTGCAGGGCCGTGGGCTGGCGGTTATTCTCCTCCCGTCCATCGCTGGTCCGCGACGCTACGCACCAAAATCTACAAACCTAAATGATCTAAATCACTAACTAAACTAAGAGCCCGCGAGCCTTCACGCGCGTTCTAGCATTAAAGTGACAAAAGAATTATCTTTACTCTGTGTGAAATAGAAATCTATGGAACTATTTCTTCGTCTTCTTCAACTGTTCGGCCGGAAAATGAAGAGTAGAAAAATAATGGTGGAACGGAGGCGCACATGGCGGTGGAGTAAGGAGGAGGCCAGACTTTATGACGGGAAGACACCTGATTTTTTCTTTTAACAGTATCGTCCGATCCAAAATACATACACTTCGTATTATTAAGCTGTCGAACTTTTCAAATGTTTGCCCCCAATTGGATTCGGTTTTGTGTCTCCAATCAATTTCTACACCTACAAAATAATCCCAATCCCAACTTCAAAGGAACCATCGGCCACAAAAAGTCTGACCCTCTAAACATATAGGATTCTCACGCCTGCCTCAAAAATAAAGGTGAAACTAAGGTTAAAAAGTAAAAACTCTCCTAAGAAAAATATTCCCCACCCTCATGTAAAATTTGAAAAAGTTAATTTACAAGTGAAAGATTCTGTAATAAAGTAAAAAATTGATCACATACTTATCGATTTAAACAAAATTGATAAAGTTTCTCAGCACAATCAAATAGAGTCACCCCGAAAATATCATGAAGTATGTATTATGTGAAGGGACTTAATGGCTGTTTACTTATAACTTAATGTACTTAATGGGATAGATGACTTAATTATTCATTTATTAAATTGTGTTTACTTAAAACTTAATAAAATGGTGAACTTATTTGCTTGGTCAAAAGTTAACTTAGGCTATGTTTGGCATAACAAGCTAGAACTGGAGGCTAATGTCTGAAATATGGTCTATTGTCTGAAACAGAGACTATTGTCTAGAACTGAACTTCAAAGTGTTGAATCTGAATTACTAGCTGAATGGAGTAAACTCGTTTGGCAAAAGAGCTGAAAAAGTGCAGGGATAATATGAAATTACATTAAAGGACATATCATTTATTAAAAGAATAAAATATATTTATTATAATGATTTTTATATTTTCAGCCTTTATTAATATAAAATAATATAATATAATATTACCTAAATTTTGAATTGCTAAATTGAAATGTTACATAAGGCACATACTTTTATTAAAGAAAATTATATTTAATTTTAAGATAAAACTCATTTTCAGGCACTATGTTCACTCAATAAAATATAACTACACCATTCAACCATACGTGTAATTTGTAGGAGGAAATTAAAATTAAATAAACTGATTGTGGAATATGACTACACCATTCACCACCAATAACACATGTTATTACTTAATTACTCCGTCCTACGTATACATCCACATAGTTTGATAGTCCAATGTGCTGCTGCAAGTTAACATACGAGTGCGGCAAGGCCAGGCTTTTATGGGAATTAAACACCCGGCTGAATTGAAACGTTTCCTAGTTGAACGTTTTGATTCAGATCGTTTTTTCCAGCTCAAGGTCACTTAAGCCTTTCATCCAAACAATACCATCTATGAAATAATTGACTGAAATTAACACATTTCAGCACATTATTAGCTGAAATGGCTAAACGAACATAGCCTTACTGTCAAAAAAACTGTCAAAAGTTAACTTATTTGTTCTGCTAAAGAAGTGCATTCTTCAGGCGCGAAAACAAACCCACTTCACTATTTTAAGTTTCAACCCTTTCTTTTGATCAGCCTTTGAACGACTTCTTCATTGACGGACGTAAGAGAGAAATCTCCATTGACGGATGAAAGAGAGAAAGGCCGGTCATCTTCTTCTTAAGTAAACAGATCCATGTCTTCACCATTCTATATCACTATACAATTGCCCTGCTCAAAATATGGTATATACTATTTGCCCGTCCGCCGTCGAACTTGAATCAGAAGGAAACTCCCAGACAATCCACTTGCTTACATTCATACTTGTCTCAACTTTATTGGAATAGAAACGGTGGATGACAAACACCCATCTTGATTTCTTACATGATACTTTCGTATTTAAACCATAGAAAAACACTCAGACTTGTTAAAAAAATTAAGTCTTTGATTTTATGACTTACTCCCTCCGTCCCAATTTGTTTTGCAAAGTGAACATTTTTTGGTCAACCAATAATAAAAGTCAATCCTCCATATGGATAATTAATTAAATTTTTAATAATTAAAATTTACATATTCATAAACTACATTAAAATCTATTCAAAGATGTAAACTCAAAATTAGAATATAATTAAAAATTGACATTATAATTAAGTGAACAAAACGGAACTGTTTGACCAAGAAAAGTCAAATTTGCAAATCAATTTGGGACGAAGAGAGTATTAATTAATCAAATAATCAACTTATAGACGTAGTTTAGCAATGTTGTTTTCTCCATTCACCTTGAAGCGCCTCTGGTTTTCAAGAAGCGTGATCTTCAACAAAAGGGCCGTTTTATGGCTTGATCTTCTGTTAAAGGGCCTCCCGGGATATATGGTTCGATCTTGAGTTGAATCTTGGTTCAATCTTCATATGAATATCTTAAAATCTTCAAAGATTCGTTCTTCATATCTTCGAATCTTCAAAGTTTCATTCTTCAGATCTTCAAATCTTCGAGCTTCGTTCTTCAGATCTTCGAACGCTCTTCAACTTTTGGACTTATTTTATCAAGAATAGATGAAATCACAAAGGATTATTCATATATTCTTGACAAAAAACGTGGCTTGATTTCTTTCTCTTTTTCGGAATCGTTCAGAGCCTCTCGGGAGTTCTTCAGAGCTTTGCTGCAGCATTTCTCCGTCTGGAAGTTCTCCTCCTTTTCCTCTCAACTGAGACTCCTATTTATAGGTGTGGAGGGGGTGAAAATATGGCCTAGGGTTGCAGAAATTCGTCCATACCCTATGGGCCTAAATTAAAATGGACTTCGGGCTCTATTTTCTTGCATTTTAATAGCTAGAAAAATCAGCACTTATATAATGTATCAGGACAGCCTTTTTAACAAGGTTCGCAGCCACTTTCGACGCATACAGACAAAATTCTTAACCAGATTCATTGCACTTTTTATCAATTGGATCATGTCTCTTATTCATTGGGCCACTATTTCATATTGGGCTTGAAATAGAGAAATTAATAGGACCGATCCATTCTTTAAAAGACTTAATTTATAATTAAATTAATGATTGGATATTTTAAATAATCCAAATTAATTTAATCACTAAATTTCTTCTCAAGTGGTCCGTATCACCATCTTTTTTATGAGGCCTAAAGAGCATCACGAGCGTCACGAGCGGTCCAGTAGAATTGAACATTGGTCCAATAGCATTTAAAAGATGCCCAATAACATCAAAAATAGCCCGATATCATTTGAAGAGACCCAATGACTATCAGGACTGGCCCGATTATTTTTAGATGTCCACAGCGGTATTGTAATTTTATGCGTTAGCGGTATTAATTTCATTAATGTTAGTTGTTGTATTGATTTTTTTGTACTCCGTAATTATTTGGGAAAGTTTTTTGTCCAACATGCAGAGGAGGCATGTCATCAAAATGCCAATTTTTTTATAATCCGATAATGATACAAATGTTCACGAGTTTTTTCTAAGATAATGCAAAAAATTAAATTATGTACGAAATACGAGTCGAGTTAAAAATATTTACCAAAATAGTGTTGGATCAAACCATGATTAACCAAAACCGCCAAACCAATTGGCGACTTTCAAAACGCCAAACATTTTTGTACAGAAATACGGAATGTAATAGCTCACGTCAACGTTCAATAGATGAGAAATGCACTTAGTTGGGACCCGGTTGTTAAAAAACTACTCCGTATTTTGGGAAAGTTCCCGAAATATGACTAAAACAGTTTGATAATTCCAAAATAGGACTGACATGTTTTTTATTCCCAAAATAGGAGTAATTACTGTCAAGTTTGGAAAATACTGCCATGTTTGAAGTCTGGTACTGACAAAACATGACAGTAATTAGTCCTATTTTGGGAATAAAATCATGACAGTCCTATTTTGGAATTTTCAAACCTTTTTAGTCCTATTTCGGGTAATATCTTCCGTATTTTTCTTTAAAGTGTTATAAGTTTTCCGTTTTTACTTAATTTTTATAAAAATATATATAATTCGTAATTTTTCATTATCTTTCATATGACATCAATATTTAATATATAAATTTAAAACATATCCAAAAATGTTTTTAAACATTCCATTTTCCAACTCCTGTACGGATTACTCCGTATTAAATAAAGAAATATTTCGCTATACGAAGTATATAACAAAAATAAGGATCATGAGAAAATGTGACTATAAAAGTGTATTCATAGTCAATTTAGTAAAAAAATCACAATATTTATTTTAGTGAAATTTTAGAGAATATAAAAAATTACTTTTAACATTATTTTGGAAAAACACCACTTTGAAAAGTTTCCCTAAAAAAATATTATGGACAAAAATGTGACTACATTGACTATGAGTACACTTTTATAACTGCTTTGATATAAAATTAAACACGCTAATAGATAAAAATGTAACTTATTAACTTTTAGTAACTATAATTGTGTTTAATTTTATATCAAATTAGTTGTAATGTGTACTACAAGTCAATGTAGTCACATTTTTGCCCATAATACTACGTAGTTTGTTAGGGAAACTTTTCAAAGTGGTGTTTTTTCCAAAATAATGTTTTTCTAGAATCAAATAAATTCATTACTACCAGTCAAGAGTTAAAGCACGAATAATACAATTGGGCGGACTATCCCACCAGATACCGTCAGACCCTAAACAGGCTTCCCCTAGCTAAAGTGTGGGCAACCTAATTTGCTGATCAGTGCACATACTGGAAACGCATATTAGCAAACTTTGTCATCATATGTCTAATCTCTCTAAAAATAATATCATTATACTGTAGGCCATCCTCGCGAATAATACCCTGCACAATCTGCTTGGCATCAGACTCCACTATGATGTCTCCAGCGTGACTCGTATGCTCATCTCATTGCCTCTTCAATGGACATAGCTTCCGTCATTCCCCGGGGGAAACGCCCCTCTCTCTTCACGCCTAGACCTGCTATGAAGACTCCTCCTTCATCACGAGCTACTTATTATTCCCAAGCCTCGACCATCACCTGCGTTTTGAACTGCAGCATCCACATTTAGTTTGATGTATCCCAGCTCCGGTCGCTTCTGTTGCATTTGTTGATTAGACCAAGAAGAATCCTCCACGAGATGTTGTTGCTTTGCTTCCTTCCATCCCGCTAGCGTGACATTTCCATAAGCAATGACTCCCTTCCAATTGGAATTTTCTTATATTTTTCCAAGTTTTATCATTCCTTGGCCTTCCACAAGCTCCAGCAAGTCATGGCAAACCTGCAAAAATCATCATTAGAACAATTATTAGCCA